TCTCAAAGTGGCTGGTCAAACGAACAGAATTAAAATTCACCAGCATTTCACGGTGATATTTGTCTCATGTGTGCTGCACAGTGAACCGACAAGACTACAGGCTGCAGGTCAGCACATCTCTGAATGTGTTCTCTAGCGTTGGGCCATATGGACCAATTAACTGAACAAGCCTTGTGTTAGTGGCTTGCTGCTTTGCACATCTGCACTCCGAGTGTGCTGAAGGGTGATAAAGCCCACTAGCTATGTAGCAGTGCTGTGATTAAAAACTCTGCTGAACACACACACGAGATACTTTAATATGAACCAGAAAGTGATGAATCTGCATTTTGTAAAGCCTTTGTACTTCTTCCTTATGATGTTTCTTTAACCTCCTGCTCCTCATTCTGTGGAAGTGATTCTTCAGTCCAGCTGCTCACACGATTTGAACCAAAGTTTTCAAATGTTTCACACAAATGAGACACAGAGATGGCATTAGCCATTTGAACGACTGCTGACTTATGTCTGTTAGAATCACGGGAGTTGGGACAATCATGGGCCCTGTTTTGAGGATCCACAGCAGCTGACCAAGATGTATTGGTGCAAGTGGTGCTTGGGTGTGTCCATGTTCATTTCAGTAATTTGGCGACAAGGAAAAACGGTCCAAGCGCCTGTGCAAGTAGACAAAGGGCTGCTCTTCATCTCCTCATTAAAGCAAGGGTGCATTTTGGGTGTAACATCCAATTATCCAATTAGTGTGTAACCTCACCTCCCCTTTAAGAGATGTGTGAGTTCGAACTTTTGGTGGATGGCTGGCACACTGGTGGACTTGCCAGGTCAGACGTCAGTAAGATTTTCCACTGAGGAAACAGATCTGTTCGTCCACGAGGTGAAGGTGCACAATCACTAGTCAAAATGGTTTTTATTATAAATACTTGTATATTGATGTGCAATTGTCTGACTGTGACACTCAAGGCCACAGTTTAGATTGTGTACCAACAGTCAGCACTGATTTTCTCTAGGCCCTAACCTTAACCAAGTGGTAATGTAAACATAACCACAGTGCAACTATACAGAGAGCAGATCAGAAAAAGGATGTGCTCGTAACTCATCAGTTCACTCATTCTGTTTTAGACCTTTTAATTCTTACTTTCTTTTTTCAACTCTCTCTTTTCCCTCTTTCTCTTCCACTGGCTGTCGCCATCTTGGTAGTGCCTCAGTGTTACGGCTAATTCAAAAAATGGGCAGAGGTGGAGATTGAGTGGAGCTTCATTAGCTATAGAGACCAAAACTGTATTGGTACCAGATTGTAAACATGTTTATTTCTGCTGTAAAATTGGACATTTTAACACGGGGACCGACTGCCTTTTGGAGCCAGCCTCAAGTGGCCATTTGATGAACTGCAGGTTTAACAGGTTGCTGCCTGAGTCTACAAAGTGTAATACTTATAATACTAAATGTCTACATGTAATAGTCAAAGTGTGTCAAATAGATTTGATCAAAAGGCACTGGAGTATTGATTGTTTTCTGCTTTAGCAACTACACTAACTTATCTAACAATAAAATGCCTGGGCTGGAAAACGACACACTGTACCTAAAATAGACTGTTGCTATGTGGGTGGAGATCCATTCAGTATTCACTGTAACGCTGTGCTGACTGTGCTCCTTACGCCAAACTTCTTCACATGGCTCTTCCACAACTGTGAGACCATGCTGGCTAATTAGTTTGCTGATATTCTAACATTTTTTTTCAAAGCCATAATACATTTTTGAATCAAGGTGTGCCTCGTTCACCGCGACATCTCGCACAAACATTTCATGCTTCTCTTCCTTCATGTCTTTCTTCCTCTCCCCTCGCTCATCCTGTACAGCCTTTCATTAACTGTTACTTGTCATCCCTCTTCTTCCACCTCAGTCCTTCTCATCTGCTTGTTTTCTTTGGGATGTAATCTCTGCCTCCTCTCTCATCACACCGCAACTAAACAGCTTTATTATTCAGTTCAATTTACCCCCTCTCCTTATTACGTATGTCTTTTTTCTTTTCATTCCTTTATTATCTGCTCTCCTGATTCTCATCTCATCTTCTCTTATCTTTTGTCCACATTCTTGATTTTTTTCTCAGCTGTCTCTTCATTCCATGGATGTTCTTGCCACTTCCTTTATATCTGTTCTTTTCTCTTCTTTCCTCATCTCTCCTCTCTTTTTCACTCTTGCTTTTTCCTCCTCCTCCTCTCTGCTCCTCCTCCTCTTTTCCTGACCCCCTCCTCATCTTTCACCTCCTCATTTCTCTGTTCTTCTCGTTCACTGCTGAGCCCAGCTCTTTGCTGCTTTGATCTCTGTCGTTTTGCCAGAGCTTACTGTTCAAACCCCCTCAGTGCTGACAGAGAGGTGGGTTGTGAGAATTTAGAGCTCTGCAGAAGATTATTTGGAGTGAAAGAGGCTAAGCTGAGAGAAAGATCAAGTGAGGAGATTAGTGTTAGGGGAGACACAACAACAGAGAAAGTAACAAACACTGGCAAAGTGGTAAAATAGAGCAAATGATCACTGAAGAAGAAAATGATATTTTTTTTGTCTTACTGAAGGTGGAAAAATGGGGAGGAAGGGAAGAAAAGCTGTTTGAGATTGAGAGTCTAGGGAGACTGTACATGGGCACAGCTGTGCTTTGAGCTAAATGCTAACATGACATGCTGAAGTTAATGTTTACCATGTACACTGCCTTATTTTCTAATTGGTGCTTAACACAAAGTACAGCTCAGTTGAATGGGAATGTCAGAAGAGTTGCAGATGCTTGGTCATATACCAAAGTATTGGAGAAATAGAATTTTGCTTGGGGAATCCCCAAAAAGATTATAAATTCATCCAAGTATGTGAATATATGAACCAAATTTCATCTCAACCCATCGCAGGTCAACATATGACCACAAACAACATGACTTTGGGATTTATACATTTTATTAATTTAGGGTGAAAAGGCAGAAAGCAAGTCTTTTTGAACAGGCAGGATGCAGGTCAGCTAAATGCAGAGAGAGATTGGCAAATGAATGTAGATTTTGGGTATCAGCTCATAGTTCCAGAGGAGATAGTCAGCACTAACCTCAGACCAGACCTTGTGTTGTGGTCAGAAGCACAGAGGGCTGTGTATTTTGTCGAGCTCACAGTTCCCTGGGAGGACGCTGTAGATACAGCTTATGAGAGGAAGAAACTGAAATACACAGAATTAGCCAGGGAGGCAGTGGAGCGTGGCTGGAAAGTTAAAGTCCGCCCCATGGAGGTTGGTTGGAGGGGATTTGTAGGCAAGTCAGCTGTCTCTATGCTAGGTGAGTGGTGTATAAAAGGGCGGCGCCTAAGATACACTAAGGAATCTAGCTGATAGTGCAGCAAGGTCCAGTAAGTGGTTCTGGAACAGCACAAAAAGAAGCAGATGTTTGGCTAGTTATCTGGTGAGCTTTTAGAAATGATTACTGAGTTATTTTAAATGCTTAGTGGCTAGAACAGCAGTTGAAATACTTAATAGTGCTAGTTACTCTTTGGTAACAGTTTGCCTGAATTAGCCTGAGTAGCTGAAGGCTTGTGTTGGGTGTGTGTGTGTGTGTGCAAGGGGGGGGTGGTTTTGTGAGGCTGGAACACATTGTCAAGCCTTCTCGGTGTCTTGGGACCAACACAACGATACACCAGTTAGTGACAGGATGCCGACCTGATGACCTTGTAGACTTGCCTTGACCCCCGCACCCACATAGAGCTTGTACTTGTGTTGATGATAACATTGTTACAAACTCATTGGAATTGTTAATAGTCTTCTTTTGTTAGACAGTCTTAGTAGAATAGTGTCAGTGGCTGGACAGCTGAGCAGCTCAGAGGTGACTGCCATTACAAGCCAGCTGGTCCAGCCACTGCTTAACCTGAGCAAATACAATGCAGATGCTGTGTGCCAAGCCACATATCTGCTTTTTGCTTGGGTGGAGACAGGGTTCAGGATGCTTTGTGTTAGGGGCAGGTTAGGTCTGGAAAATTATGCTGCCTATTGTGGGGCTCTGAAGATTTATGACGGCCTGGCCTGACACTCCGCTCTCTGGGGCCAAATAATGGGTAAACATCATCTGTCTCACATACTGAGCTTCCATGTGAATGCTCTCCTATTCTTGAGCACATTTAATTTTATATTATTGACTGTTAACTAATCTATGACTACATGACTAAACTACTCTAATAAATAACTAATAAATAAATAAATGAGAATTTAAGGGATGGAGATAAAAAGGACATGATATAGTGACCAATGTCTAACTGTTGGATGAATGGGAAAGAAAAATTCTTTTATCTATTGTGAACAGATTCAGCTGAAATTTAGGAAGCGTTATGGTGAATAAATTAAGATGTATCCTAGACACATCAGATGGCTGGCTGTCGGCAGGAGGCTGGAAGTTTGGACTGGCTTTGGTCAGGTTCTCCCCGTCTAGGTGGATGTCAGACAAGATATGTGGCTCTAGACTGGGGCACATTAGACTGAGTGGTGAAATGCGTTGGACACAGCTACAGTAATTTGGACTTGGCAGTCTGCATTTGAATGTTTGATCTGGTTTCCTTCAAAAAAAAGAAACTAATTCAACTCATAAGATGATGATGATGATCGCTCTACAAAGGTGGCTTCTTGTTCATTTTAAATAACTCGGACTTGGTGTGTTGCCTGAAAATATGAAAAACCATAGTAAAAACGAAAGCACTATGATGAAGAGGAAAATCAGGAGCGTTCACAAGAATAGAAAACAAAAAACACAGAGGTAGACAAGTTAATGGCACAAGGTGTGGACAGAAACACTGTTCTACACAAAAGACTTGGTAGAATTAGTTTCTCTAAGTCTGACGTAGCCCCAGCTCCTGGCCAGCATGGCTTTCTGATGGAGTTCTCCTCTGTGCACCATGAACATCTGCACACATTTTCAATCTATGCAGTATTTCAGTAAGGCCTGAAATGATGATCAAGTGACTAAACAACCAACTAACATTCAGTATATTCCCATCCCTAGAGCCCTGCTGACTGACTGGACTTACCAGAGGAAAGAAGAAGAAGAATGGATGACAATGAAGGGACACAGAGCGAGAGCTGGCCATAAAGTTAGCCATAAAGATTGAGAGATTGAATGAAACTAGAATTACCGCTTGTACCAGTTGTATTTCTCTGCCAACCAGTCACATTCATGGGAATCTTGAACCACCAAAACCTAATCTGTTCATCATTGAGTCCAAGCGGACAAGTTTGAACAAATTCCCTCAAGGAGTTCCTGACATATTGAATTTAAAAGAATGGGCCAGACAGACAGACAGACGACCTGAAAACATAACGCCTCTGGCTGTGGCTATCGTCGGTGCGGAGGCATAAAAGTAAAAATCACTTAATATAACTATTTTAACAAAGCCATAAAAGATGAAAAGGAACCAGGAGGAATTCCTGAAAAGTAGAGGGAAAAAATTGTGACAGAGAAGAAGAAACAACAATAAAAAAGGGGTTCAGGAAGAAAGTCAGTGGAAAGGGAGTAACGCCAAGACAGAAAGCAGGGAACACAGTGTGGATAAGAGAGAGAGAGGAAGAGCGAGAGGAGGAGGAGGATGCAGCTTGATTTCACACTACTTCCCACACAGAAAGAGAGAGAGAGAGAGAGGTGAAAGCTACAGAGAGGGTGGGGTGTAGCCACTTCTCCCCTGTCAGAGAAAGAACTTGCTCACTCTTTCTCGTCCCTCTCTTTGCCATGTGACTGGCTAACGCTTCAGCAGCACTCTCTTTCACTCTCTCCCTCTCTCTCCATCCTTCGCTCAGCTCACCCTATGTCTGACTGAGAAGGAAGAAGAAGAAGAAGAGGAGGAGGGAGAGGAAGAAGCAGGAAGAAGACAGATAGAGAAAAGAAAAGACAGAGGATGTTCTCCGTTTCATTGAAGTGCCACTTAGGGGTCATCAAACGCCGAATCAAGGGTACTGTGTGTGTGTGTGTGTGTGTGTGTGTGTGTGTGTGTGTGTGTTGTGTCAGAGAGATCGAGAGTGCTGCCAACTATGCTGCCACTGTGTGTGTGTGTGTGAGTGTGTGTGTGTGTGTGTGTGTGTTTAGATGTTTATTTGATTGTGTTTTTGTACATGTGCTGTTTAATGTATCTGTGTAAGTGCACAGTTTATATCTTAGTGTGTTTGTGTATCTTACAGTAAGTTTGTGTAAGTTATATTTGTTTTTCTCTGAGTCACTGCACATGTACATTTTTGTGAGTTAATGTATGTATCTGTAATGTATGTGTACTTCTGCTGTGATGTCCGTGTGTGTCATGGTGGTGTTATGTTATTTTCTCTCTTTACTTTCTCAGTCTTCACTTTCTCCGCTTCACTTCAGTTCACTTTTCTTACAGCGGCTGAACGTCCACAGGAAGCTGCACAAACTCCGAAGTGAAATAAGAGAATCTTATTTTGCTCTCAGGACATCGAACTGACTTTCATGAAGTGAATAAACGGAGTGTTATAGATGCCGTCAGCCATAAACCACTGTCGGTTTTTTTCAGTGCATCAGTTTCTTGTGTGGGTGAATTTTGATTGTTTGACATGAACATCATCTTCAAGTGTGTGTCTTTAGATTCTGTGCATACATCTCTTCTTGAACTGATGGATTTCATTGCATTGTTTTGAGTAGATGAAGGCTGTGTGGTTAGAGAGATGAGCTTCAGCGGAGCGGCTTGTTTGGTTTGTAATTATAATCTAAAGTACAGTAAAGTGGCTTAAGTGAAGCACTGACATGTAGGCTTCATGACCTGTTCAATCTTCTGACTTGGTTATACTTTCTGAGCCTGACTCAAATTGTAAAATAGTCTCTGTCTGCAGCTAACTGACATGGTTGGTTATGTCTGGTTGTAATGCATGTTCATTGTGTTTGTTTCCAAGGGATATACAGGGTATTTCAGATGAGAGGGAAATCACTGCATCATGAATAGTTAAATAAGATTTTATCGTTGGCCCCTTGCTCGCCGAGGCGTGCTGTGCAGGGAATGATGGACAAAATGGTAACAGCTCCTGAGTGCATGTGTGACCAAGAGAAAGCGATGGTATCTCTTTAGCGAGCTCAGTGACCGACTGGATGAGCAGCAGTTAAACTTTTATGGCTGAAGAATGTGAAGCTCCTGACTCTTGTTTTATTCAACAAATACACTCAATTTAGTGAAATTAAGTAGGAGATGGGTGTTCGTTATTCATCACCAGAGATCTCATGTTTTTGTTTCATTTGAATGTCAAAATTAAACTATTGAACTAATAGTCAAACTAGCTAATAAGAAAAAGGTGAGATGTATGTATTTTGCAGCCAAACCTGTTTTAAAATGTTTGATTTTCAGGTTATTTTTTTAATGCAACAACATAATGGCTGAAAAAAACTGTTTTCCTGAAAGAAACCTTAAAAAAAATCAAGCAAATAATTGACATATATAGACATTATTTGGAATGAAAAGCAACTTTATTGCAAAGGTAAACAACACCAAAGGTTTCTGTTTAATATTTAATGTTTCACTACAAAATAATTGAGCACAGATTGTCTCAGTTTAGGATTTGAACCAGCAACCTTCTAGTCACACTGCTGCCAGCAGAGACAGATTCCATAGCTTAGGGGCACGATTGCCCAACGTTTGTGCCTGGACCTTGGTAGCGCTAATAAAAAGTGACTGAGATCCTGCTGGCTTGTGCCACCATCATATCAGTTAACAGAGGTGTAGAGCCTGTCTGTTTAAAGCCTTCAAAACTTAAAATCAATCCTGAAACAGACAGGAAGCTGTGAAGAGAGGCCAGAGTAGGGTTATATGGGCATATTTACATTTACTTGTCAAAAAACAAGCAACAGAAATTTCAAAATCATTGAAAGAAAAGAACGACTTGATCAATAATCTCGGCTGAAAGCTTGACTTCGCACCTGCATTGATCTGTTTTATCAAATTTCAAATCATTGTCAAACATCATCCCAGATTGTTTTGCTGTAGATTTCCAAAACAGAGCCAGGATCCAGACTGAGGGTCTCCAAACGACAGGTGATCTGTTTTATTTTCATTAAGATGCAACAAATCTAGTGCCAATTAAGTCAGACAAATGAACCGTAGCTGTAAAGAAGTGCCGCCTGTTGATTTTAGAGGTGCATGGATCTGGATATCATCCACATACGTAGCAATGGAAAGGGAAACCGCATTTCTCCAAATTAGACCCAGTGGAAACATGTACAGTGAAAACAGGACAGGGCCGATAACTGACCCTGATAGGTGTGATGTGACTGATCTAAACATGTTACGGGTGCTTTGCCGCTGCAGCTGCTCTATGTGGGTTAGCTGTGTGTAATGTTTCATGTACGACATGCGTAGTTTGGGACTGTGCATTGATGTGTCTTAGTGTGTGTGTGTGTGTGTGTGTGTGTGTGTGTGTGTGTGAGATAGAGAGTGAAATGTACGGCCAGTTGCCTGTGGAGCTTGAGGCCAGGTTGTTGTTGTGGGTGTTGAAGATTGATCTCCAAACACCTGTGAGCATCTGGGGCCACTAAATTCTCTCTCTCTCTGCTTACTGACTTTCATTGTCAATGAAGCTGCTGCTCACAGTACGTGGCATTTTTGTGTGTGTGCTGTGTGTTCATGCGGCTGAGAAAGCGGGTGACACAAATACAGTATGTTTGTCCATATGATATGTGTGTAAAGTGTGTGTGTGTGTTTGTTTGCTAGCATGTTTGGGTGGATATGAGTGAGAAATGTGTCATTAGGCGATGTGTGTCTGTACAGTCTGACAGACTCTGTGTGGTACATATAGATGAAGGGTGTTTAGTCTCATGGGAGAGAACAGTTTGTAACAGAGGATGTTGCCAGAAGCTGCAGCTGAATACTAATCTTCAGTCGTTGCACTTGACACTGTTCAGCATTTCACCGAAGTTTCATAAACACTGGCTCACACACCAGTTGCTACTTAGCACTTTCCTCAAATCCAAAGACGTCACTAGGTAGCACTCAAAGTGCACAACCCTCCACCCCATAATCCCATTACACCTAATAGCAATATTCCCATTATACAGGGTGGGCCACGGAAAAGTAGCCTGCCTCCAGCAATAGTATATGCGAGCAAGTGGATTGTTTTGGAGGCGGGCTACTTTTCCATGGCCCACCCTGTAGTTTGACTTTAATAATAAAGTTCCTTGACTAGGGAAGCCGACCCCAACACTGATGTTGTTATTAGTTTGAAAGTTAATCAAGAAACACAATATTTCAGTATTGGCGGTTTAGCTTCGTAAACTTGACACCCTACTGATTGAGGAAAGTTTCAGTGGCTGTGTCTCAGGAGGTAGAGCAGGTCGTCTCCTAACCCGACAGTTGGCGGGTCGATTCCCAGCTTCTCCAGTCCACATGCTGAAGTGTCTCTGAGCAGGACACTGAGCCCCAAGTTCCTCCCGGTGATGTCACTGTGTGTTTGGGAGTACAAATGGGCTTTGAATGTGCTGCTATTCATAGAAAAGCACCACGAGGTATAAGACACTTTAGCTAAAATTTGATCTTAGCTGGAAGTCTGTAGCATTATTTGTTGTTTCACAGCAGCATGTTTTTAAGAATCTGAACAAATCATTTTTTAGACAGTTACCTTGCTAGACCTGGTATTCCTTAAAAAAGCTCATAATTCAGCCCTCTACATTGATCCCTGCAGTACTGATCTACATGCAAACCAGTGAGGCATTTTAATAGTTAATCTCTGCAGTTCTGTGACCAGCAAATCTCTGCTGTTTGGATGCTCGGAAGGCTCATCAGCTTCTTATTAAACTTCAGTGGAAATGAATAGATTTCATTTGACTTGTTTGTGTTTTTCTAACAGTACAAGTTTAATAAAACAAATCTTTTAATCTGTTTTCTCTATTTTTATGTTTCTTACATCTAGGAAATGGTGTTGCTTTTTCAATAACTGCCCTGCTTCACTGTCATGGTTCCAACTAAATGTATGTGAATAGGTAGGAGACCACTGCTGAAAATGAGAAGGGTGTGCTCAGCAAACATTTCCTGAGTGGAATATGTTTTTTTAAAATAGATGTGGAAAACTCCTGTGTGCAGGATTCCTCTCTTAGCAGTAGTAGGTGCAGAAATCAATAGAGCAGTGTTGCTGTAAGCATTAGATAAGAGGTGTACATGGTTCCGAGAGATACACAGCTGAGACAAACAGCTAGAAAGTCTCTGCAGTGGATTATCTGTCACGATCATTCCAGGGTCACATGCATTCTTAATTTCACTTCATTTGGATCTATAAATTGGTGCATAATAATACTGAAATAGAATATTTTTAACTTTTTTTGGTTGTCATAGATACTATGTTTTAATAGATCTTTAAAGTAGGGTTTGAGATTTTTTTTCAGAAGCATTTTTTGTTGCATATTTTGAAATTCTCTTTTCATTCCAAAGGCAATGAATACATTAATTGTGTGGCAGGGTTTTAATTATTTCTGTTTTACATGTGTACCTAAAACATATAGATGTGTCATGCTTAAGTTTTGCATTTGCCAAGGAAAACAAATCCTCAGTCCACGATATTATAAACAGGAAGTGTGTTCACACTCTAGTACATAATGTGAACTTCACATCATTTTATACTCAAGGAAACAACAGTGTTGATCACATGTGGAGTGAAAAGAAAAGATTCTGAGAAGCACTTCTGACTTTAATAAGATACTGTAATAGAGAAATAAGTATAATATACTAGGGGGGCATGGTAGTGGAGTGGTTAGTGCTGCTGCTTCACAGGTTTGAGTCCTGGCCGACCCAGGGCCTTTTTGTGTGGAGTCTGCATGTTCTCCCTGTGCCTGTGTGGTTTCTCTCCAGCTTCCTCCCACAGTCCAAAGACAAGCAGCTTAGGTTGACTGGTGACTCTAAACTGCTGGTAGGAGTGAGTGTGGTTGTTTGTCTACATGTCAGCCCTGTGATAGAGTGGCGACCTGTCCA